CCGAGGTCAAGTACTAAAAAGTCAAACTTAGTCAACTCTTCCAATTTAAAATTTCCTAGTTGAGAATCATTCTTCCAAATTAATTCCGAATAACCTGAAAACCAAAACCGACGATTCACACAAGTCATAATATATTATACGATGCTACTCAAGACTTCAAATAGCTGAACAGAATGCAAATTCTCAAAACGACCGACTGGGTCGTTACATTCAAGATAATATTTTATCATCACGGGATGTATTCTCATAACTCATCAATAAAGTGCACTTGGATATGAAAATAATAGAGTGCGAATGTCTGCTCAAGATATAAGACATGACTATGGCTAAATCAATTTAGCAATAATTTCACAAATACCCATCTTGGCTAATTAGAAAACAATAATCCTAAAGCATGATCTCTAGCATGAAAAGATAAGCTCGAATAGTCATACAAAGAATTACATATGTATCATAGAGAGCACACAATAAAATCAAGGCAGAGTAGAAGCCTAGAGTATAATCCGGTCATTTTTCATATATAGCACTCGCATATATGCTCGTCACCTCGCATATACGTCTCGTCACATATAATACAATTAGACATATAAGGTCCAACTCTAAGAGCTATTCCCTCAAACAAGAGTAGGCAAGACACTTACCTTAAATGGGCCAAATCAACCCTCCAAAATTGCCTTTCCTTTAGAAACCACCTCTAAACGACTCAAATCTAGCAAAAAAAGAAAAAACTCAATAACATCAAATAAAACCATAGGAAACAACCCCAAAGAATACATCTATGATCTTTAATCAAATTTTCAAAAGTCAACAAAGTCAGCCCGGGTCCACACGGTCAAAACCCGAGTCAAGTAATAGATCCCGATTACCCATAACCTCATGAGTCCTATTATATTATTAGATTTCAAATCCGAGTCCAAATCGACTCCCAAGTCCCCAATATTCACTCTCTTAAGTTGTAGACAAAACTCCCAACTTTTCCATTACAATTCCAAGTTTTTAGTGTAGAAATCCATGAGGATTCAAGATTTAAAGCCAAATTCAAGTAAAAATTATTTACCTCAAATGTAGTAGTAAATATGCTCTCCACCAGCAGCCAAACGCTCTCTAGAGAGGCGACAAAGAGGAACAGTAACTGAACGACAAAAATGGCCACCAATCCCTCGTCCGATGGTGAAAAACCACTGGACCAGTCTCAACGGTTGCGTCTACACACTCCGCACATAATCCAGGTAGGCGACTCAATCATTTCTTCCCCCTCTGCTGAACGAATCAACAATGGCAGAAGTGTGTGTTCACCAAAAAAATCGCCAGGACACAACTGTGAAACTTTTCAATGTTTCTGGGTCAAGTCGAATGATTCAAAGACATAGAGATGGTTCAACACACCATTTACAACCAATAAACAAAGCATCCGACAATATCACAACAGGAGTTTGTGATTCAGAATAGGGAAACAATGTTGACAAATAACTGATGGTCACGCGAGGAGGTACATATATCCATATTGATCACAGCCAATGCAAGGCCACTCCAATTGATTTGGATAATAATCCCGACCTTTCAAACAACAACCACGATGAGCAATTAGTTGCAAATTTGCAGAATAAAGTTTACACAAATTCGCACATACCATCTGTTCGAAGAAATGCCAGGGTCAGTTTTGATGCCAATTTTGACGAATATATAAATAGTTGTGCTTCACAAAGTCATGTTGAGATTGGTCGTCAAGCGAAGTTACAAGAAAATATAATGAATGAGAGTGATCGAAGGCAGACACCTACAGGAGCACACTTTGCCTATGCTAATTCTGAGGACCAAGTTGTGATTGAATTGGGTGGAATAGACTCAAAACATGTTGGTGGAAGCCACCAGAATGCCCAACTTCATTCGCATAGTAAGAACCTTGAGGCTCGACCAAATAGTACCCATGCTGTCATGAAGTTGAATGACTGTATTGTTGCTACTCCTTCAACTGCCCAACGATTACTTGAGCAGCCTCTCGTTGACAGGCCGAAGACTGTCAAACCAAATTCTACTGAACCACCACGCTCAACACCACCATCCCCAAATTTGACAACATATGTTGTGTTAACCAATAAGGTAAATGATCCCACACAGTCCCAGCCAATACGCAGACCAACACCATCGACCTTCCCTAAAATATCAACCAATTTTGATAAAAGTCATGCTGCTCACCATAAAAAACAAGGTACCTACCACTATTCCAACAATCACACTTGTGACTCATCTCCAAAAGAAACTCCCCCTCAAGCACAGAACCTCAATCACACCCCTGCTTTAGCCCTTGTACAGACATACCCTCATGTTGCAGCTCCATCTAACCAACCAAAGCAGCAAAACATTCCCAGTAGTCACAACAACCAGTCTCACCACATTAAGACACCTGCAACTACATTACAAAGTGACAATACTACTCAACCAAGTAAAACACCTTCCTATCCTACTCCACCACCTCCTACTATCACACAATCTTTAGCTACCTAATTGCGAGCAATGCAGGCTGTAGAGATTGAACCAATAGGATTCACAGCTCCTAGAATAACTACCAAATAGGGTCAGCTAACAGTCATCTTTACTAGAAAGGATTACATGGTCACACTTGCCAGCAGGTGCCAGTACACAATTGTAGGCAAGTTTCTAAACACAATACGTAGAATGGAGCAGATTAGGAGAAGTTTCATTATCCAGTCAGAACTCAGAGAAGGAGTTAAGATAGCTCATTTTAATGATAAGACAGTTTACATCGACCTTCACAATGAGTATGATCACACAACTGTCTGGACAAAAAAATTCATGTACATTCAAGGTCAAAGGATGGAATTACAGGCTTGGACACCTACCTTTAATCCAAATGAGGATACTCCCATTATCCCTATTTGGATTGTCATTCCAGAGCTTCCATGGCATTTCTACTACAAAGAGGTGTTGGCTATTTTATTATCACCAGTTGGGAAGATTCTGCACCTTGACCTTGCCTCCATGCAAAAGACCAGGGGAAGTGTTGCCAAAGTAAGGATGCAAGTAGACTTAACACAAACAAGGCCTCATCATGTTTGCTTGGCTTTGATGAGGATCAGGATGTCAATGGAGATGGCCAATGGTTAAAAGTTATCTATGAAGACTTTCCACCATACTGCTGTCACTGTAAGCACTTGGGGCATGAAGATTATTATTGTTCTATAAAGAAAAAATATGAGGAAGAGAGGAAGAAAATAGCTACTGCTTCATCACAATAATGACAATCAGAATACAATCAGGGATATTAATAATACTACCTCTCATCAACACTAGGATCATCCCATAATACTCCAGAATATTCAAGACACAAAACAAAACATGGAATTACAACACCAAATCGAGGAACAACAGCAAAGATCAAATGACAAGGCAGTAAATCAACAACAAAAAAAGGATAACCACTCCAATGATCAATGGCATACTCAAAAGAAGAAACTTCAGGGGAGTACACCAAAGAAACAAGAATCAGAAAGACAAACATCACATAACACAAATAACATGTACAAATATGACCAAGCCAGATAACATCACAGTTACATAGACACAAACACAACAACTAGTTGTCATAGCCCATATGACAGAACCCATTACAAACACCACCACAAAAGAATCTACTGGTCAAATAGAGGTTGATCAGAATGCAACACCAACTGATCAAGCAGGCACTTCAAAGGAGATTACTCTTATTCATACAGGTAGTGGTAAGTCAGATACTAACACCACTCAACAAGGTCATTCCAAGGCTGCTTTAGATGACACTAATCCCCCTGACTCTAGGCATCAACTCAGAAGATTTGAGAAAGATCAAGATGCATCCCACAGTCAACAACGAGTGAATGACACAAACATACAACCTAAAATCGAGATTGTGAACACTGTTGAGTTGGGACTGCAGAATCACCATCCCAAAAATAATGTAAATTATATATCAAGTCCATGACATAATAGGAGTGCTGTAAACACTGCAAATACTCAGTCAGGGACAAAAGATGAGGTTACAAAGAACAATACAATTGACTGGGTTCAAAGGACCTTTGATAAGCAGAAGGAAACTATCAATGTCAAAATGAACCAATCATATCAAGAAATACCCTCTCAGACCTGTTTATCATATCCATCCACCACCAGAGAGGGTGCAGACATCTGGGATCAGGCAGTTGAAGAAGAAGCACATAATGCAGATACAAATAGAGCTAGCCCTAATGAAGATGACAACCCCAAAACAGTACCAGAGTGCACCAATAACTCAAAAGCCAAAACTACAGAACACTACAATGACACAGGGCAGAAAATGCAACAAACTGATAGTACTCGGTTAGGTTACCTACCTGGACAACTGGTCACTTATGCTACTGCAAAAGTTCCAAATGACACAGGGATTTTTCAACTACAAATAGAAAGTGATAAGGTTAAAAAAGTTGGGGATGAACAGCTGAGACTAATGGTTGTAGAGAATCCTTCAATAGCAATGCCAATTGCATATGTCTCAACTACCATTTCTCCACTTCAGATCCAACTAAATGTGCTATTTATATCTCCAAATCTGATACTACATGACATCATTACACACAAGAAACTGCCTATTGAGATTCATCAACCTCTGCTTGATAAGCAACACATAGAAGATGAAGCTGATGATGAATCAACTCTTGGAAACTTTAAGGCTGTTGCAAGAGAAGGAGATTTGTCACCTAGGTTGTCGAACAAGAAGGGTAAGAAAGGAAAAAAAATCAAAGACAAGCTAAGGAAACACTACCACCAACAAGAACTATGCCCAAGAGGGCAGCCTCAACAATTAAATGATGATTAAAACACTCATCTGGAACATAAGGTCTGTCAAGACTCAACAGGCCTTTCAAAGGGTTATCAACATGCAAAAACAACATGGCTTCTTCATTGTAGCACCATTAAAGCCTTTTCAAAAATAAGGGTTCATAAACAAGTATAGGAGAAGGTTAGGAATGGAAAGTGCACTATCAAATGTCAATGGGAAGATATGGTTACTCATAGATGAAGATGTGGAGTGGGAGCTCCTGATAGACACTGAACAACAACTAACAATCAAAGTATTACATCATGGAATTGGTAAGCACATCATTATGACCTTTGTATATTCAAAATGCTCCTCACAGGAAAGACTGGAGCTGTGGAATAATTTGTATTATCTTGCTTCTGATATGGAACTCCCTTGGGTGGTTGGAGGAGATTTCAATGTAATCCTTGGAGAAGAAGAGAAGATAGGAGGATTTCCAGTGTACCCCCCAGAGTATGAGGATTTTGCCTTTTGTATTAATTCATGTGGACTGTTTGATCTTAGTTACAAAGGCAGTCCCTTCACTTGGTGGAACGGCAGGCCAAATGAAGAATGCATATTCAAATGCTTGAACATATTCTTTGTTAACTTGCCTTTCCAATCATTATTCCCTAACATAGAGGTGGAGCATCTCATCAGAACAGGCTCAGATCATGCTCCCCTCTTGATGAGTTGTGGAGAGGAGGCAATGCAATTTGTTAAACCATTCAAGTTCTTAAACTTCTGGACCAAACATGAAACCTTTATAGAAGTTGTTAGGTAAAATTGGATAGCTAATTTCACTATAGATCCATTCTTGAGTTCCAAGCAGAAGCTAAAAAGGGTTAAGCTTGCTCTTTCTAAATGGAGAAAACTCACTTATGGGAATATATTCAAGCAGTTGGCAATTAGAGAAGATGTGGTTAGAATTAAGGAGATTTTGTTTGAAGAAGCACCAACAATGGAGAACAGAGGAATACTTCAACAAGCTCAAGCTGAATTGAAGAAGTATCTGAACATAGAGGAGCAGTATTGGAAATAAAAAGCAGGAATGACATGGTTTGAAGAGGGAGACAGAAACACTAGATTTTTTCATAACCATGTCAATGATAAGAGGTAGAAGCTCCAACTCAAAAGAATTCAGAATAGTGAGGGTGCATGGATTGAGTCACAAGACTTAATGACCGATGCTGCAGTTGATTTCTTTCAAAAGCAGTTTACTAAAGAAGATGATCCTACAAGCTTTGAACTCCTACACAATGTACCTTCAATGGTGACATGTGAGCAGAATCTAGAGCTTTGTAGAAGTCCTACTAGAGAAGAGGTGAAGGCAGCAGTTTTTGCATTGAGCAGTGACAATGTAAGTGGTCCAGATGGCTTCTCAGGATTGTTCTTGCAAGCTTGCTGGGATATTGTAGGGGAAGACATCCACAATATGCTAATACTGTTTTATGGGGGAATCTCTTTTCCTAAATCTATAACTCATACAAATCTTGTATTGTTGCCTAAAAAACCAATGGTCCAAACATTCTCTGATCTCAGACCTATAAGTCTGAGCAATTTTATAAGCAAAGTGTTTTCTAGTGTGGTTCATGATAGGCTGGAGAACATTCTGCCTTCCTTAATCTGTCAAACCAGTTTGGCTTTGTCAAGGGGAGAAGTATCTTTGAAAATATCTTGCTGACTCAAGAAATTGTTACTGACATAAAACTGAGGGGTAAACCTGCCAATGTGATCATCAAACTGGACATGGAAAAGGCATATGATAGGGTATTATGGAAGTACTTGATGCATATGTTAAGGAAAATGGGATTTGCAGAATGCTTTGTCAACATAGTGTGGAATCTGATTGTTAACAACTCATATTCTGTCCTGATTAATGGGCAAACTTCAGGTTTCTTTCACTCAACTAGGGGTGTCAAACAAGGGGATCCTCTATCTCCAGCTTTGTTTATTATTTCAGCAGAAGCTTTGTCTAGGTCCCTAAATAAACTTTTTGAAGACAAACAATTTAAAGGATTTGGTTTGCCTAAGTGGACTGACCCTTTGAACCACTTAGCCTATGCTGATGACACTATCATTTTTGCCTCTTCTGATCTATATTCCCTACAGAAGATAGTTGAGGTTTTGACACAATATGAGCACACCTCTGGACAATTGATTAACAAGGCAAAGAGTTCTTACTACATGCATACCAATGTTGTTGGAACTTTGGTTAATACAATAGGAAATATCACTAGTTTCTCAAAGGGAGAATTTAATTTTACCTATCTTGGATGCCCAATATTTTACACAAGAAGGAGAAAGGACCACTACAATGATTTGATAAAGAAGGTGAAGGCAAAACTGCATTCTTGGAAGGGGTAACTATTGTCCTATGGGAAAAAAGCTACATTGATCTCTAGTGTGTTGCAAAGCATGCCTACACACATCCTTTCTGTACTTGATCCACCTGCTAATATGCTTGAACACTTACACAAAATATTTGCTAGATATTTCTGGAGCAATAATAAAGAAGGCAGGAGTAGGCACTGGACAAAATGGCAAAACCTATGCCTTCCTAAGGAGGGGGGAGGGGGGGTGTAGGTTTTAGATCCTTGGTAGATATTTCTAAAGAATTATTTGCTAAGTTGTGGTGGAGGTTTAGAACTACCAAATCATTATGGTCAAACTTTATGTGGAACAAATACTATAAAAAAGAACCACCTACTGTTGTCCAATTTAGGGAAGGCTCACATGTTTGGAAAAGGTTGTTGGAGGCAAGGGAAGAAGTTGAACATGAAATACTATGGGAGATAAATAGGGGGTCGACTAATGTGTGGCATGAGAACTGGACTGGACTAGGGGGCATTATATCACTTGGTCCCTCCAGATTTCCACATCAATGAAGATCTTTAGGAGGTTGCTCAGTTGAGAGAGGGAGATGATTGGAATGTGCTGTTGGAACAATCTTTTCCTAAAGATATTGCAGATCACATTAGGCAGAAGGTCCCCTTTGACAACAATGATGAGTATTGGGACCACCTAGGTGGATGCCTACAGCTTCAGGGAGATTCAGAGTATGTAGTACATGGCAAATCTTGAGACATAGATCTCCCACAGATGCTGAATACAAGTTGTTGTGGACCAAGGGGCTGCCTTTTAAAATATTCTTATTTCTATGGAGACTATGGAAAGGCAAACTACCTACTGATGATATATGGAGAAGAAGTGGGCACATGGTGGTTTCAAGGTGGAACAAAGTGATATAAACGAGAACAACCAACTGGTTTTGGTGGGGGATAAATCTGCCCAAAACAACATAGATATTTAACTACATAAGGAGTCTACTGCTCAATGGGTGAACATGACCTTTGCAGGTGGTAACTTAGTGGCTACTAATAGATCGTGTCAGGAAATACTATCACAAAATGCTGATACAACTAATTCATTTGAAGAACCTATGGAAAAAGAGAGGCTGCAGTTAAGTGGAGGGAAATTATGGACTGATCAAATAGAAGAGGATTCTGAGGAAGGTGAAATACCAGATGTAATGGAAGCAGATGATGAATCTATTGATGAGGAGGTAGAGGAAGCAGAACAAAGTGTTAATGGGAAGGCCAAGGATTCTACTGGTACAAAATCAGAGTGGTGAAGATACCATCATGTTGCAGAACCCTTTTCCTTTTCCTAATTCTAACCTTAAGACTGGAATGAAGGACCTAATACAAGAGGCAAACAAAGACCGGAGCACTAACAATTCACTTTTGAAAATTGCTGATGCAGTGGAACAAGATGCATCAATTCCTATAGCTGGAGAACAAAATGGTAGTGCAATTGATCATGGAGTAAGAAGTGATAATAAAGGAAATTCATCTATGCAAGTTACAGTTCAGCAATGTGAGACCACTCCCAAGGAGCACACCAGTGGAACCAAAATCAATAAGGAAATGCAGAACACTGAACAGTTACAAGAAAATTTTAGACACTTAGTTGAGCATATGAATGCAATTAATCAAGGAGGAACTAAGTATGATGCAACAGTGCTGACAATTAAAGTAGTTGAACTGAACACTGATGCAATTATCAATTCGGGTGATGAACACGATGCTGTCTTGTTAAAACAAAATGTTGCTATACCTGATGACTTTCAGGTTGTAAGTCGGGAAAACAACAGTCAGCAAAAGGTAGAGTAAACATGCATGCAAAGGAAGTTTCACTCGACAAAATGAATACAGTGGTGCTCTCTAAACATACAAAGAATCAGATTGCTGTGCAATACGAGGAACACACTGTATGTGATAGCAACAGGGAAAATAAAGGAAAAGATCTAGATGAGGAGTCAACTGCACCAAAACTTTATGAATGTAGCTAAACAAGGTGATTTATCACCAAGGATAATTGACAAGGGGAAATCTACTGGAAAGGGTAGGAAGAAGCAGCAGAAAGATAGCACAAATATGCAGCCTACTGGTGTTCAAACACGACGAACATTGTCTAAATCCAATTTGTTGCCATGAATGCACTCATCTGGAACGTAAGATCAGTAAACACAAAGAAGGCATTTCAAAGGACAATCACAATGCATAGACAACATCACTTTGAATTTAATTGGATTAATGGAGCCAATGCAGCATGCTAGGAAGTTGGACAAATATAGGAGGGAAATTGGATTCGCACAAGCATTTGGTGATATTACCAACAAGATCTGGGCATTTGTCGATGAGGTATATGACGTTGTGATATTGATAGATATGGAGCAGCAGTTAACTTTGAAGTTACATCATGTTCATACACAAAAAGCTTTTGTCCTTACATTGGTGTATGCAAAATATGATGCGATAGAAAGGATCAAACTATGGGACTCGATGTATGCACTTGCAAATGATTTGTCGTTACCATGGATGGTTGGAGGAGACTTTAATATTATATGGGATGAAGAGGAGAAATTTGGTGGGTTGCCAGTCCACATGAATGGAGTGCTTGACTTTAGACACTGTGTAAATACATGTAACCTATACGATATAGGATTTAAGGGAAGTATCTACATATGGTGAAATGGACGAGCGGAAGGGGACTGCATTTTCAAGCGTCAGGACAGATGTTTAACGAATGTTGAATTCCAGCTAACATTTCCAGGATTAGAGATTACCCACCTCCCGAAAATTGGCTCTGACCATAGCCCATTATTATTGGCAGCTTCTACTAACACTGTCCCAGTCAAGAAATCTTTTAAATTCCTAAACTTTTGGATAAAACATGAATCTTTCACTGATGTTGTCAAGGAAAACTGGACTGCCGACTTTAGTGCAAGTCCATTCTATCTCTTTTAGTACAAAATGAAGAAGTTGAAGAAAGCTCTATCAACTTGGAGTAAGACAACATATGGGGACATTTTTCAAAAGATTGCAAGCCTTGAAGAAGTCGTCATTATTCATGAAGCTCAATTTGAAATAAGCCCAACTCAACATAATTGACAAAGGCTTCAAAAGGTTGAAGCAGAACTGATAAGATATTTGGCCTTAGAAGAGGAGTTCTGAAAACAAAAGGCAGGCATGGCTTGGTTCAAAGACGGGGATAGAAATACTAAATTTTTTCATGCTCAAGTGAATGGGAGGAGGAGACGATTACAATTAAAAAGGATTCAGAATGATGTAGGTGACTGGATCGAAAATATTCCAGAAATTGCAGAAGAAGTGTCAAATATTTCAGTAACCAATTTCATGAAGGCAGTGTCCCTGATGCTTTCAGAATTATTGACAATGTACCTCACATGGTTAGTAATGAACAGAACATGGGCTTACTAACAACACCAGCGAGAGAAGAAGTAAAACATGCTGTTTTGGATTAAACAGTGAGAGTGCAGGAGGTACGGATGGCTTCACTAGGTGTTTCTTTCATATATGTTGGGATACAATTGGTGAAGACGTCTTTCAGATGGTTAATGTATTCTTCTGTGGCCATGAACTACCAAGATTTGTGACACAAAATAATATGGTGCTCTTATCAAAAAAGAAGGAGGTTAACACATTTTCAGATATGTGACCAATCAGCCTGAGTAAT